CATGAGCTGTTGGAGCAAACGCAGTTGGCTAAGAAATATCATGGATATTGCTAAGATTCTGAAATCAAGGTGAGCCATGCACCTTCTATTCAAATCCCTCAGGGAGAACCTGTTCTACCTGAAGAAGCGTGTCTTTCGGCTAATTCCTGATGCCTTCTCCTTCAGATGTAGACCTTTGGCAAGAGATATGTGAGCGACGTTCTGATATAGCTACTAGCAGTCGTCGTTGTGGTATATATTTTCAGTCGATTCTGTTCTCTCAAACAAATTGTTGTATTTGATTCAGCCGCCTCCTAAATATTCTTTGGGATTTCCTGAAAAAGTGGTCGTATTTGTGATTTTCAGATCTGGGTCAATCGAGCCTTTCAGGTAAAGGAGGTCGTCTTACTGGAAAAATGCTGAAGTGATAGAAAATAGGTAAAATTTGCTGTTTCAGAAGCTGCATATCTCCAGTCCCCATCGATAATCATTGTGGTGTTTTGGGACAAACAGCACGTTCAACGACGCAGCCCATATCAGCGACCGTTGAAGGTGTACCCAAGGGGCACCTTGAAAGTTTTGAAATCAGCACAAGGCGACAATGGTCCCACGCCCAATCAATGGACTTTGAGGCGGGGAGCCGTGGGTGATGAACTGGACTCGGACGTGTACGTCGTATAGGATCATATTCAACGATAACGCCGTCCATCTTCGATGATTAGAGAGGTTATTGGGAGTCGTAGGCTCACTCTGCTTAGTTCTGTTTGCTGCTACCATGGAGTGTTACTCCCAATGCTAGCTCTGTTACATACTGGTTTAGCGAGCGCTAGTTATCGCGAGCTCAAGATTCACAACACACTAGTTGACAATCGCCTCAGTAGAGTTCCACCTATGCCCAGCGAAGGAATGGATTAAGATGGACCGCACCCCTTTTTCTTGCAAAATACTGCAATAATTGATGCGAAAACGATTGATGACTTAAAGGAAGCGATTACGATAAAGAGGGAGCGCATCGGGGAAGCATGTGCACCACACGAATCAGTTACTTGGTTGCCAGGGAAGCGAGATGTGGCGCTTTCACAACGAAAGGTGCGCTGGTTGCTGAGCAGGACTTCGAAAGCGCTCCGCCCCAAAAGCGATCCGCCCACTAGTTCACTTGTTGATTTGGACGAGCTGCGTTGCCAGCAGCGGCGCAAATGGAGCATCTCGATTAAAGCGTGTTTGGCATGGTGCCATCAAAGCATTGTGCGGTGCTCTCGTTCAT